CTTCCTGAAATCCGTGCAAATATTTCCTGATTTCTTTAAATTCAACTTGAAATCCTTTGATTATCCTTTAGATTTATTGAAAATATCCTTTATGTCCTTGATCCTTTATCCTTTACACAAAAAGAAGGCCCATAACCTATTGAATTTATAAAGGCCGACAAATCGTTCTGTTCGATTTAAAGTTTATTAACAGAATAAAATATGAAAAACAGAAATACAATTTTCATTACATTAAACAAAATTCAAAACCTACTAAGGATGAAATTCAACAAGTGAATGTATTCAAAGTATAATCCAATAGTATTCTCATTGTGTAATTTAAAAAAATCTATCTTTAAAATTAACCTTTTTTTAAATTAAGGCGATATCAGTAGATAACTAGAATAGAAAATCGCGTAATAAAACATTTTTTACGTGATTATAGGAAGAGAGATTAGCAGATACAATTTACAATTTGCTGTATACATTTCAAATTGTATTAGGATTGGCCTCAACACGCATAAAACTCTAGTTAAGTTTTGGGCTATTGAACAAGATTTTGTAATATTTTACAAATTATTACAGACTATCGAGCCATAGTACACACCTGTTATCCTAGCTTTAATATATGTATACTTTATTTACCTGTCTTATAACGTACATTTGCATCGATATGCCCAAACCCACTGCCAAAACATTTCTTTGGAAATTCTGCCAAGACATTCATCCCGAAAGTCATGCCCACGTCTTACATAATCTCTAACAGTAGAAAATCCACATAAAGGAACTTCACATTGGAATGGCATTGAATCTGCTATCTGCAAGGGATTACCTTGATTATATTATTATTTTCAATTTATTGCTCTTGCTGGAATCAATAATTCTTGATGGGGTTTTGTGTGTTCCATTTGGGAAGTGACTCCAATATTCCTCTTTTTCATAATTATCCAGGAAATGTTGGTAAGAAAAATTTGAATTAAAATGTTTGTGCAATTTAAAAACAAAATGAAAAATATGACTTGATATGCTTAGTTTACTGGGTAATTTTGATAGTTTATCATATTCTCTACAGTATTTTTGGTTTATTGTTAAAGAACTCAAGGTTTTCGAGCTGCTTTGGAGTTTATCCGTTATCGTTATTAGTATATTTATGACAAATGTCTAAAATGTTATAACAATATGTCTAAAACAACCAAAGCACCTTAAATCTGGCGGTACAGTTATATGGGGCTCTATTAAAGCTAGTCCACAGACGGACATGGTTTAATCAACATAGAATATTTTACTGATCAAGAATGACAAATTTAATGTACCCTCCATACTATGATGGCGAGCACAAAAAGAGAATATACCACAGCCTGGAAAGTCTGTCAATATTAAGGGAATCAACACAATGAAATCCAAATAGAAGAAATGAAGAGAGGGGATTTCATGGTCTGTATGGCATTCAACCATTTAATTTCAACTCAAAGAAAAATTTATTATCGGACGGATATTATGGCTTTAGTTCAGAATAATTAAGAATGATTTGGCACATAGAATAACTTGTAGAATAGCTTTGTTCTTCTTTAAAAGAGCATGACTCTAACAAGTTGGCAAAGTTTGAATTTTTAAACATTGGGCTGATAGGTCTGGAGATGGTGAAATGTTTCTTGCCAATCCGTCAGTTGTTTCATCCATTTTCAATCCATTCCAAAACAATTGAATTATATTATATTGAATAATAATTGAATCATTAAGCGGAGCGAAATCTGAAGACATTATCGATTCTGAAGCATTTCAATAAAATACCCATAAATTTATTTGAGATTTTATGTAAAAACAATTTAATTATATTGAAATATTGTCTTTTTTAACAAAACACAGGAATATACATATTTGTTTGAAAATCAGAATCAACGAATTCATCAATATGTGAATAACATGGCAATATACGATCCGATCACTTGCTTTCATCGGCATTACGGACACCGCGCATTTTCTTGTCGGCCACCTTCAACGAAGTGTAGTTCAACAGTTGTTTTGTGCGCAATTTGGCCCAAATCATAAAGTTGTGAAGACCCAAAATTTGAGCAGCATGCAGGGCAGCAGTTTCGGGATACACAACTGTGGGACAACCCAATCCTGAGGGTACATTTAAACTGGACCACACATCCAACGATTTATCTTCGGCCTTAAGGGGTGGACAATTGATGACGGGGTATGGAGTGTTGGCCGACAAAACTGGACCCAAACCATTTGAACGTCCTGCTACAGCAATGAATATCAGATTGCTCAGACGACCTTCATATTCACGTAAGATGCGCAATGTTTCTTCGGTTCCTTTGTGGGCTGAGGTGACGCGCAATTCGGTGTTCAGGCCAAATGATTTGCAATGTTTGGCGATTTTTTCACAGTGCTCACTGTCTGAGGCACTGCCCATTAAAATGACAACCAAATGATCGGATTTTGGCATAATCTGTTTCAGTTGATCATTTGTCCAGGTGTAGTTGCGTATTACTGTGTCCAGGGATTCATCTGTGACAGTGGCACATTTACGATAGACATCTTTGTCGACCATAAGACGTTTATCGCCGGAAGGCCACAAACGCCAAGAATCCGAGTCGATAATGTCAGCCAGTATAATTTGACCTACAATGAGAAAGAAACGAATGGAGAATTAGTGTTGAGAAATGAGCATCGAGGTTTTAAAATAGGATTGAGAAAAAGGAAGTCTAATAAAAAAGACGAAATCATAAATTTATTGAAACATATACATATTATTAAGACTTTCAGATACGATAAACATAAGGTAAAATTGTCTTTTCATATAAATTTTGGACAAAATTTTGTATGATGAAAATCTCCACCATTATGCGAAAAAGGGTTAAATTATAAAAGTCAAGTAAAAAACGACGGGCCGAAGTATTATATCCTCTACCATGTGAAAACTTATATTAAGGTCTAAACTGAATGAGCGCTTGCGTACAAAAATATCGACAAAACAACAGCAACATAACTGACTGACTGAGAATCAATGCAGCACGGCTGCAGCTAGAATCTTAACCTTAATCTTGGAGCGTAGGTGTTGGATAAGGCTGGGTTTTTGAACATTCGTACTAAGAGGTTACGTCAGACTGAACTAATCGCACATTTTGAGTACTAACAAGTAAAAAGCAGCTAAGTTCGGCCGGGCCGAGCTTTAAATACCCTCCACCATTTGGAAGGAACTTGAAAAATTAAAAAAATGACAAAAAACAACTGAAATCTTCTAAATACAGAATCTAAATACCGTTATATGGGGGCTATACGAAGACGTGGACCTGCATACAAACATTTTTTGTCGTAGGCTGTAGTACCCATTACAAACTTTAAATATGAAATTTGAATTAATTCCGGTAAATACTGTCGTTAAAATCATAAAAAAACGAATGTTGGGAGGTACCGTTATATTGGGGCTATACGAAAACATGGACCGACATGGCCCATCTAGGAACTTTACCTAAACTATGAATTTATGCAAAATTTCAGCCTTCTATCTCAATTTGTTTGAAAGAAAGCGTGTTTACAACAGACGGATATCGGAAATTCGGCAATGCGCATTTCAATCGATAATTTAAAATAACCTTAACACCAATTTTTATACCCTCAATCACGTGGCTACAGAGGGTATATATCATTTAATACGGCCAAAACGATTTCATCCAAACTTGGTACATCATAACATTATTATCAAACTTAGATCAAGTTCGGAAATGTGCAATATCGAGCCGGTCCTTCCGGTACATCCCCCACAAAAGGTCGAAATTTTCAAAGCAAAAAAAATATTTTACTGCACAGAAAGAGAAAGGATAATCCAATTTTGCTTCAATTTTGCAAATCCTAATATTTAGTGCTAGGTCTGGTGTAAAGATGGGATATATCGGTTCACTCCTTCTGGTACCTCAACTACAAAGGGTCAACATTTTTAATAATTTTAAAAATTTTAACCGAGTAAAAATTTTAATAATTTTAACTGTTATAACATGTGAAATATCCGAGTCCGATTGTCTTCTGGTACCTCCCCCACAAAGGGTAAATATTTTGAATATCCTTGAAGTTCTTTAAACGCTAAATTAACATCATCCAGGCTTGGTCTGAATATTCTCAATTTTCCTATCAACACAAGATCTGTTATAAAGATGGTAGAGATCGGATCATTTGTCCTGAGTTCAAGGTTTTAAAAAACAAAACGCTTAAAGAAAACGAAATAAGCATCCAACTCTCTTCAAATTTCACAAATATAATCTCTTTTTTAAAACAAGATCTGTTGTGAAGAGGATATACATATCTGCGAACCCCCTCTGGTAACTCACCCACAAAGGGTCACAGTTTCCAATACTTTTTCTGTCATAACTCGCAAAACTAGTCAGCGATTCTTCTTTACAACTTACCATATCAAAATATTTCTCTCAACCAGGAACCTGAGATGAATGTAAAATTTATGATTTCGCATTATATTGGATATAAATGTTCGATTTCCTTGTAATTTTGCGCAAGTCAATATTTTTATCTGTATTAGATGAAAATATGAAAACAGAATACTTCGGTCGCCCATATCTGGTACCTCACGCACATTTTAACATTTTCTAAAAATTATCACATATCTCATATAAAGTGAAGAAAATAACCAATATAATCCAAACCTTGCACGTCGCAACATTTATATCGCATCGGAACCTACTCCACAGATGGTCAACAATTTGAAAATCATAAAACAAGTCAAAATATACTTAAGTAATCGAAAATTGGCTGAGAGTATACATCTGTCGGCCAAACCGACTGATACTTTTTAATTAGTTTAATTCTAAGAAATGTTTACAAGAAATACCCTCTACCCCTATTTGGAATTAAATAAACAACTACGAATTTTATATTTTTAGGCTCATCAAATCGTGAAATTGGAATATTTTTGCCATTTAGTTTTTTGTCCAAGTCACACCGATTGCTCTAACCACCTTCACACATTCGATGAGGAAATCAGTGGCTCGGGCCCAAGCATAATCCCCAGAGAATTACTTCGCCACCATACACAAATACAAAACCTCAATTTCTAAATTCTTAAAAGAAAGAACAATAACAAAAAAAAAACGAAAGATAAATTTAATAAACACAACTCATACAAATGCGCTCAAATCTGGACAAAGAATTTAATTCGATATGTGCATATGCCCAGATGTACATACGACAATAATCTACGGCAGTCGGGTCTCAACGCCACCAGTTTCATAATTCACTTTCTGAAAGTGGACTCGCAGTTTTAGTTTGAATCTCCTACACTCAGCACCGTATTTTTCGTGGATATTGTGCGGCGTTTAAAAACTTGCCGCAAACAATTGTGGATTTAATTTTTGTCGCCACGTTTTCTTAGAGAAAGAAAAAAAACATAAAAAGAAATTAATTTGTTATTGTGATAAGAACAACGAAATCCCTCAACGAAAGATGTTTACTTCCTGCCGTCACCGCGCCACCATCACAGTCGCTCTGTTCGTGGTGGCAGCAATTCAGCTGGCTGCCTGCACTGAGGACGGAAATGCCTCATGGAATATCAGCACAATGGACCGTCTGCGTGTACAACTGTTTACGAACTATGATAAGAGCTCGCACCCCATGGTTACACCCACGCAGCGGACGAACATAACATTGGGCATAGCCGTCAACTACATCGATATCGATGAATTGAAGGGCAGAATGACGCTGCATGGCTGGGTCAACATGCGCTGGCGCGATGGAGGAAGGACATGGAAGCCGGAATATTTCGACAACATAACCACCTTGCATATACGTTCCAAGGAGGTATGGAAGCCGGACATTACTCTGTTCAACAGCGCCGGCAGCGAGGGCGATTATGTTGGTGATACACAGACTATGCTCTCCTACGATGGTAGCTTCATGTGGGTGCCTCCCGTGGTTTATACGGCCTACTGTAATCTGAATCTCAAAATGTGGCCATACGACCAGCAAACGTGCAAACTCAAAGTGGGCACATGGACTTTGACAACAATCGATCCAAAATTCCTTGACTTCAAGGAAAGCATCGATTACAAGGATTTGATTAAATCCACCGAATGGGACATCATCGACGCCAAGGCCACATACAACAGTGAGGAATTCTACAACTATATAGAGTACACGTTCCAACTTCAACGCTACTCTTCGATGTACACAACGGTTATTTTCACGCCAGCATCCTGCATTATACTAATGTGTCTATCCATATTCTGGCTACCACCCCAAATGGGAGAGAAAATTTTGCTCAATGCCGTTTTGATTGTAATTATTGCTGCATTCCTGATGTACTTTGCCCAAATGTTGCCCATATTGGCGGAAAATACCCCACTAGTGGTACTCTTCTACAGCGCCAGTTTGTTGCTTTTGAGCATATCGACAATCGTTTCGGTAACCGTCCTCTATTTGTCCACAGCCAAACATAAGCAACGTGTACCGGCATTTTTGAGAAACCTTCTCAATGGCGGCTTGGGTCGTGTTTTACTGCTAAGCGAGTTTTCCCTAGAAGCCGAACCGCAAACCCTGCTCAATAATGGCACCAAGGAGATGGGCGAACACGTCTATGACGAACCAATTGAGACAACAAACGAAAATACAATGTTCAATGCATCGAATCAAACACCGAGATCATTGCAATTCGATTGGATCCTATTGGCAACAGCCATTGATCGCATCTTCTTCCTGGTGTACTGTTTCATTTTCATTATTTTGGCCATTGTCTATTCGGTGTAGGATGCAGGATTGAAATTTCACCATTAGAAAACCAAAAATATGTCATTTTTGTATTGCAAATTTAATATGTAAATAAAAAAATTGTACTGATATATAATAAGTTCAAGATTTTTGTGTTCGGTAGGTTGAAGAAGTGGGACAGATTTTCTTTTTCAGGTGTTTATAGTAAGTATGGTCTTTTTTAACTTTTAATAATCTAATAATATTTACATGGTTTTTTTGCAGATCAATTATTGTAATTTTTCCCAAAACCGATTTTACTGACAGACTCAGATCAAAAACCCAGTAAAGAAAGGTAAAAGTCATACAGGGACATCGATATAAAACCCTACACAATTATGCATATTTATCAGATCTACCCGATCGCGATATAATTTGATAGAGGTCGCATGTGCCAACATCCACTCAATTTGGGCTGATATCACACATTTGGTACAGAATCAAATTGAAATCGGACGAAGACAAATATGGAAGCAATATTTATATTTAGCAGAGAATTTTATGATCTTTATCTGGTATCTGGTACCAAACATCTATGTTGTGGAGTGCATTTTACGAATGTAGGTGTCTTCAAATCGGATGAAATTTATATATGGGAGCTAAAGTTATACCTTAACCGAATTTTGCCAAATTTGACACTCTTGATTCCAAGCTGAATTCAGTTAGATGTGCCAAAATCCATCCGATTTCGACTAATGTGCATATTTATTAGATCTACCCGATCGCGATAGACAGTGGTCGCATGTGCCAGCATCCACTCAATTTGGGCTGATGTTACACATTTGGTGGATAATCTACTTAAAATCGGACGAAGACAAATATGGAAGCTATATACAAATCTGGATCGATCTCGTTAAATTTAGCAGATAATTTTATGATCTTTATCTGGTATCCGGTACCAAACATCAATGTTGTGAAGTGCATTTTACGAATGTGGGTGTCTTCAAATCGGATGAAACTTATATATGGGCACACTTCCAAACACAATTGGACGAAGTTGTATATGGGAGCTATATCTAAATTTAGACTGATTATCACCAATTTCAATAGGGTTTATCCCTGGACCAAACATACGATTTGTGCAAGATTTCATTTCGTTCGGGCAATAAATGCGACCTATACTTTGTTTACAAAAATACAAGGGCTCATAAATTGACTCAGACCGTGATTCTATAAGGATCCTCAAAAGTAATCGTATTTCATATTTCCTTCTCCATTTTAAAAAGAAATGCACAAATACATAATACCCTGACCACAGTGTTATACCCATGGTACAATGAATTCAAGGTAGGGCAGAACTACCATATGATTTAATTTTTTTTGTTTTTCTGGCTTAATATGTCAACTTCATTTGCTTATGTGTGTGTCTTCTTTTCAATAATAAAAAATTGTTCAGAAAATATTCAAATTCGGGTGTTTTCAAAATGCTTATTGCAACAAATGCATCGACAAAATGTACAGTTATTGTCGCGAAATAAACCATAAGAGATATATAGAACATGATATTGAAAAGAAATTTTGACCATTCATTCAGTTTTCGCGGTTTTAAATTATTTATTCAAAATCAATGCAACAAGTTGTTTGCTTTTTTATTGTTTTGATAGTAATTCTGACATTACAAGCCAAACAGGTAGACCTCTATACTTGCAATTTTTTCAAAGTTGACCTACCTTCTCTTCATTGTACCATGGTTATACCCTAATAATGTTTTGATAAATAATTTATTCAACAAAAGCAGGTATCTTCGCAAACGGGAAAACGTTGTTACCACGATTTTAGAATTTTAAGGGTCAAATTATATTCTTAAAATTCCCCACATTAAAGTTCGTTGCTATTTAAGCGAAGATTTTTAAGACATTTTTGATATTTTTAGGGGGACTCGGCCGTGATGTATATCTCGATATTTTTCCAACAACATTTTCATTTATTTATTCTTTAGCGACTATCCTACATCAATTCAATACAGAGATTCAAAATGAAAAACCCGAATTAGTTTTTTTGAAGAAGAATCATATTAGGGGTTGACATAAGTTAAGTCAGGATTATTTTAAATGCTATGAAACTCGATTAATTGACTGACTATGAATGAATGACTATACTACTAACATTAAGCATAAAATTTGAAATTCACCAAGGGACGCTATCGCTAACCAAAACCCAATTGTAATAGTCAAAGAAATACAAAAAAAATTGTACTAGGAGTATAAGACGAGATACAAAAAGACTACTCCATTGACAATATTTCAGAAAAATAATTAATTATTTAATATCCTTATTAATTGCAATATTTTACATAGGGTGCAGCAAAAGAAAAGAAGATAGTTCCACAAATGCTAGTCAGTTCCTTTGGAAAAAAACACCTATGGCAAAACCTTTTTTCTACACAAGTGATCGTAGGTTCAATAGAAGATTAAATAAAATATAAAAACTATGTACAGTATTCCAACAAATAAATGTTAACACTGTTCTATTTATGAATTTGTCCAAATCTTTTAATTATGGAGTTTAATATGGATAGTTTGCGAAGATATTCATTTCATTAATATTGTAACTTTTAGTTCAAGTTATCTTTTGGACAATGTATGCTGTATTTAGACCAAATTATTTAAAAATAAAGTTATTGTCACAAAAGTATTTTAGAAAAGACTTTTGTATCTTCAACATGCAATACCCGAAACAAATAAATTCATACATACCTTCCTCATCGACGCCAAATTCAATTTTCATATCGATTAGAGCACAGTTCTTAGTAGCCCAAGCTCTTTCCAAAATTTCAAAGACTAAAACGGTGGTTTTCTTGATGATGTCAACTTCATCTTTGCCTAAATGAATTAATTACAATGTAGAAGATTATCCTTGAAAACCTTATTTCAAAATTTAAGTATACTTTACCAATTTCAACACCATTGAATTTAAATTTGGCTGAAATAATTTGTTCGTCTGACCATTGTGGATCGTGATTAGCATCATCCTTGAAAAAGGTTTCTTGTTTGGGAGGGGAGAAGCTTTTAAAGTGGATGAGAACAAACATATGTTAGTGGGAATTTTATTTTTAATTGAAATTTATTATTGATCTACAAAAATTTAATGTGAAAATAGTTAACAACTGGATGTGATTTGGCGTTATTTGGCAGGGTCATGGTCTATAGCAGGTCAGCCAGTAAGCCCATCTGAAAACTACGTTTGCTGTCGAAAAAAACTTATTATGATTTGAAATTTAATGGGAGTCAAGTCACAATAGTCCAAAGTCCAAGTTTATTGTCAAACTACAAAACAAGTCTTCCTGTCCGACCTTATAAAGGCCTTGGGTTTTTTGATTTTTCCCTGAATCTTTGTTTCCCTGGATAAGGGAAGGTAAGCGGTCTCAGACCTTAATATACAAGTTATTACTACTTTAAACCTCTAATTACTTATATTTATTTATATTTATTTCATTGTGGCTGTTGGGGGCTATATTGGATATGGGATTGGAAACAATGATCAAGGCTTACATACATTTGAGCTTTCAATAAAATATTAACATTTTAGAAAATTTATTTTAGACTGCATTATTTATTATTTGCTGTAAATTTGTATTAATAATATTTATTAGTTGCTAAGCCATTACAAAAATGAATACAACATAGTTATCACTGACTTGATTGATTGATACATATTGATGATGTCTATAATATTCCTCATGGAACATCTACTGGGGGTAAAAGCAGGGTCACTGACGTAGCTGATAACATTTGTATACTATATTATCTGAGTTGCATTTTGTAAAAAACAATTTTACAATGACCATTTTAAATGAGACGAGCACAGGAGATATAAAAAAGTTTGATTTAATCAATAATATTGTGTATATATTATTTATTCAATTATATATTTCAGAAAATGGCATTTAAGCATTTTCCAAATTTTAACTGTTACAATATTTTTCATTATAAGAGGAAGAAAAAGAAATTTCGATCTCCTTCTATAAAAATATAAAATAGTTTTAAAATACTTCATTTGGCAGTGTTTCCAATTTCAAAAGTTTTTATTTCACATTTTCATAGAGCTAGAGTTGAACCCCAGGCTCATGCAATAAATACACATTATTTTATTAAAACCGTTGGTATCGGTCGAGCTTCGTTGTATACATTTTTGTAAAAAAAGTTTCTAATAACAAGTTAAAATGTTTAAATATATTTTGACTTCTGTTCTGATTATTCTAATTGCTACCCTCTATGGAGTAGGTTCCGAAGGAATGGGCCAATATTGTCCATTACGTATCGGACCTTGTTGGTATTTGCAATTGTACATCACATGAGCACGGTAACCCATGAGAATACCCAAATGATTAATAATAGAATTAGATGTGGCAACATTGTTTTTATGTACATTGTACAAATACACATATACTCTTATACATGCATCACATACATCATCCTAACATTCCATGTAATAAATATAGTTTACTGTTGTAACGTTCAGTTAGTTGTCTTTTACTTCTTCTTAAATAAAGAACATGAATTGTTAAACTGAAACGATCCTCGTGCCTCAACAATCATTTCTAATAGGTTATGGACCCAGGCTATCGCATCTAGAGAGGATTTTGTTTTTTTTTTTTTTTTCGCTGTTTCTTGGAGAATTGAATTAAATATTCTTGGTACCTGGATTCTGCTATTTGTTCATATTTGCAAATTTTATTGTGAAATTTATCGTGAAAATTACCTGATTGGAGCGAATCATGGCAGACTCAAAATTGTTGTTCACAAAGCTGAACAGGGATAATTATGAGTTGTGGAAATATAGAATGCAGCTGTTGTTGAAGAAGGAAAAAGTGTGGGACGTTATCAGTGATCCTGTGCCGGCGGTTCCTGATGAAAAATGGATAGAGCGTGACACTGAAGCAACAATTCTGATTGGATTAGCTGTTGAAGACAGTGAAGTGCATCGCATTGCAAATTGTGCAAATGCAAAAGCAGCTTGGGATACACTTAAATCGTATCATGAAAAATCTTCTTTGAGTAACAAAGTGAAACTTATGAGGAGTATTTGTGAACTCAAGCTACAACCTGGGGAAGATATGGATTCCCATATAACAAACATGAAGTTGATGTTTACAAAGTT